ATACGACCGGAAAGAAATCAGGTGCAGGACCAACGGCTTTACGTGCTTTCCGAGTCACGGGGGTGAGACACCCCCAACTTCCTGACTCCGGGCAGCTACCAAAAATTTCTTGACAGAAAAACTCAATAACCAATTTTTTGGCCCAACATGAAATTCGAACCCGAGATCTCATGATCAACAATCGCGTTTACAACCACTACACCAAGGAGGCAGTCACGGGCTGATGAAGAAGAAGATAACTACGCCGCCGTTACACGGCCACGAACAACGCAAAACATGTTATTATTACCTTTTACCTTAACATGTTATTACCGATATTCAATGTTATTATTCTTTATTCTAAAAGTCCAGTGTTTGACCATGAACTAAATTCACAGTTTATGTACATTAGATGTACTAAATTACATGTACTTACATATACAATTTTCCCGTTGAAATGTTTTAACTAAAATAACGCATGTCTTCTACAGCAAGAATTTTTTTTTTTAATGAGACACTAGCCAGTTAAAATTTATATTAAGTAGAAAAAATACGAAAGTTTCAAGTTCAAGTTTCCCTTAATTTCTCTCTACATAATTTTTAACAACTTAAACTCAAATATCGTGGTTCATTAAAAATGGATCTGCTGATATTTTTTTACGATTTCTAACGTTGTCTTAAGCTGGACAAATTACATGGACTTCAAATTGCATTAAGGATAAGAGGCCCTTCTAAGGCAACCATGTACCTCTGGTACAAAAAATTTCAGCACGATCGACTCACTTTAAGATATGAGGAAAGAAGTGGTCGCCCATTGATGACGGTTACGAAAAGTAACGTAGGAGTAGTGGATAACATTTATTGAAGGGAATAAGCGAATTATATATGAAGAGATGAAGTGCAGCACAACCTCACCATTTCTCAGAAGCAAGCTAAATTTGAAGCTCGTCTCGGTGATTTTACGACATTATTACAGGTGAAGAATATTGAATTTATCAATAGAATCTAGAAAAAAAGCACCATTAGACGGTTTCAATGTTTCAAAGTGAACAAACGCCTGCCAAAGTGAAGCAATCGGGAAGCGCAAGAAAGATTTTGATCGCTATTTTTTTTTTCATTTTAACATGTGTAATATGGAGTCAATTCCTTTACGTTTGTCCTAGCCTGGGTTGATCGTGACCCACTGGTAAGGTGGTCAAAATTATTCGATCATTTTGATCATTCGATCAGTCTTCAATCGCGGATCGACTATCAAACGTGTAGTATTGTATTATTGTTTATTATGGCGGAGGGTAGAGTTTAGAGTTGCTATCTCCTCTGAAACTAATTGTACGATTTCGATGAAACTTATTTTATTTTATTTATTTAGCAAAATCTACAGCTCTTTAAGGTTCTTTTAAATATTTTACATACATATTTATATCATACGGCCAATAAGGATTAACATTTTTTTTTCTTACGTAGTATTTAATATATTTTAGCGCATACGATTTAGATGTAAGCGCGCAAGCTCGCACTTGTGAGTGTGTATGCGTGCGTGCATCTCTCTCTCTCTCTCTCTCTCTCTGTGTGTGTGTGTGTGTGTGTGTGTGTATGTGTGTATTGTGTTGTGTGTGTGTGTGTTTCTAAAAACTTCTTGCACAAAGTCAAAACTATTCAGTAATCTGTGACAATGTTTTGTTTACTTCCATAGAATATGTCTATAGAGTGAAATGTTTTGTTATATTCTCTATGTATCTGAGAGACTAATGAATTTGTTTTTATTTGTGCTATTGCAAAAAGCTTAGGTTGTCGTGTTCTAGGACCGTTTAAATATGGATGTGCCCATTAGAAAAGCTATGCATGAACGTAATATCATATAACATTTGCGCTTTTCAAGCATTAAGAAGTGATAATGATTACAAGAAGCAACTTAGTTTTGGGGAATTGGATGATACCTATAATTTAAGTAATAAACAATTTCTTTTTGAATGTCTTCTTAGCTCAGTTACGAGGGGCACACTGAAATGATTGGGAATAAGAAAAACCACATGCACGGTATAGCTAAATTGTATTTCATTGTTTTTCAAAGTATTCTTCGTTCATATTAATGCACTTTTCCATTCGTGCAAACCAATAATTAAAACAGTAATTCTAGTCAGAAATTGATGTTGACAAAATGGCTGATTTGTACGCTTCCACAGCTACTTCGGGGTCTTTAAACCGTTGACCGCGTAATAAATCGTTCATTCTAGGGAATGTAAAGAAATCGTTTGGGTTCAGGTCAGGACTGTACGGAGGATGGCTCAGATGATGTAAGATGATGCGACGTTTCGGGTTATTTTTTCGGAGTTCGGCTATCATTCTGGCAAACAAACCGTGGTATACCACTCAGCGGTAACCGTTCTACGTTCCTGTAAAGGAATTGTAGCAACATGCCCCTTTTTCGAGACAAACGTAGCGACCATTTTCTTTGACACACTGCGGGAGCGAACCACTTTCGTTGGTTTGACCTCGTCTTCGAAGACCCAAACTGCTGACTGACGTTTTCTTTCAGGTTCGTATGAATAAATCCATGATTCGTCACCTGAGACGATATTATAAACGGCATTTGACTTCCCTCCGTTTATGTAATATCGACTGAAATTCAGTCATTCCGATACTGACAACAGCCCGAATCTGCTCGTATGTCACATGACGGTCATCTAATATAATAGTTCACACAGCTGCGATGTTTTCAGGCGTGACCGCTGTTTTTGGTCGACCTGCAGAAGAAACAGTGCTGAGCGACACACGACCGCGTCGGAACTCGGCATACCAGCGGTATATTGTCGTTTGATTCGGTGCATCAACATCATAAATCGAAACAAGTTCGCTGAGATTGTGATAAATTATGGCACGGAAATGTTCACGCGTGAGCTCCATTTCTATTAACGAGGTGTCAACTTTAAACGAACGTAGTTTTTGTTTTTAAACATGTTTTTAATTGTTTGAATGTCATTAAAGTTCTAAGAGGCCAGTATTCAAATTCTAAAAAGGGTTTTATTGTAACTCAATCCGAAATATTCTATTCCCGATCATTTCAGTGTGCCCTAGTAAATCAAAAATCACGAAAACCTTAACAGTTTTGAGCAATATATTAACATCCCGCTTTAAAAATTGATAATTTTCAAAAGTAGAAGATTTCGGTCCGATTTTGAGAATACGAGTTTTCATAAGATCTCCACGTTTTGAGGTCTTAGGAAGCCCTTCCGACTATTTCCGGCTGGACGTCCGGCCGTGTGTGTGTATGTATGTGTTGGTGCGTGCGAGCGTGCGTGCGTGCGTGTGAGCGTGGTGCCTGCGTGTGGGCGGGCGGGCGTGCGTGCATGGGTTCATGTGTACATGCGTTCGTGCGTGCAGGCGGACGTGCGTGAGTGCGTGCGTACGTGCGTGCGTGCGTGTGTGTATGTAAATAAAATTTTGTCGCACGATATCTTTAGAACGAACTAACTGATCGAGATGGGCGACACGGCGTTCGAAAGTGATCATTGAGACTTCATGCTCTGATTATATTTCCAAGTCAATCGGTCTAGCCATTTCAAAGATTTTTCAAAAAATAAAGACCAACAGCGAAACATGCATCCCCTATATATTCTCACAGGGAGGATATTTGCCATAGTGGCCACGTTTGATAGGCAATGTCAAATATTTTAATTCAATATTAGCTTCTACAAAGCACTTTTAAAAGTCAAATGCTAAGCCATCGCTTCAACTAACCCCTACTGTGGAGAGATCTTGTGAGAAGAAGCTTCAAGAAACGTACACGTAAACTTTTTCTCCCAACAGTTACACTTTATCCTTATATAATATATACATAAGTAAAAAATCTAAGAAAGCTATGTCAACGCATTAACTTTTAAACAATTATCCAATTCGAAATATCTATTAATTTATATTTTAAAAATGAACCGCTAGTTTTATGTAGTCTCTACATTGAAACAGTAAGTTTAGATTGATTGCGCGTGTTAAAATATGGGTATCACTCATTCATTTTGTCACATTAATAACATTTTTTATAGGATAAGGGTGACAAGCGAATACAGTCCACCTGATGGTAAGTGATTGCCGTGGCCCATAGTCATCTACATCTATCCTCGTTAGCAAATCAAAATAAAGATGCGTTGTCAGCCGTGAGGACTAAGATGGAATGCCTCTGTTCCAGTAAAAAGGCTCCCCAGTTCTCTACACTCACTATACGAAACACAACAGCTTTAAGTTGCTATTTTACGGTGGTATTATAATATGAAAGCGTGGTCCTTCCCCTTTCGAGCCCACTCATTCGTGCTACAATTAATATAGCTGCAGCATGGCTCTACCACGTAAAACATTGTCCAAAACTAATTGTAATACCACAGTTAAGATATTTATTTCTTTAAAAAAGGTGTCTAAATGAGTCTCTTGGCTTAATATTGTAAATATCACGTAAAGTATTTTCTGTAGTAAGTATAAATGTATTTTCAATATCAGTTGTTGATCCCCACAATAATAAACAATAGGACATAGTACCATGGAAATAGCTGAAATAAACCAATCTTGCTGTATCAAGGCAATATGGCAGTCGCAATTTTTTTTAATTATTTTAAGCTGTTATAAAAATGATGCCCGTCTATTTCATTTCCCTCTGTCGTCTCCTACGACATCCACGGGATGATATGGGGTAGTGGTTTTCTGCCGCCACTACACGCCCATCCTAACCGAACGTTTAATAAGCCTACATTTACTTTTCGAACTGCTAAGGAAGATTAGCGAAATGCAAAAACACTCATCAATTGTCGCTAGTAATGATACTGCCGATCGTTTAACCGTTAAGATTCAAATCTGCAACTTAGTTATAGGTCACCAAGAAACATCATCAATGTTAATTAGGATAATATCTCATTAGATACATGTAAATTAATTTGTGATAAAAATTAATTAAGCCGTGATACTTAGAAGATATTATTATATATTATATTGGCGCCCAATGAGTTCTACATTAACATGCTGAATTGGTTACTTACCAGTGTCTAAACAGATGCCCATATTCCATGAAGATACAATTTATTAACAATTCCTCTTGATATTGAATAAAATAGTCCCTGTAATACTAAGCTTGGTTTTGCATTGGCACTTATTTAGGATAAATATTTATATCAAAAAGCGTATGTGTACACGCGGGTAGTCACACGCTGTCACTTTTAATTGTTCATCGATTAAAGGACGCGACCTTCGACCGGGCTTTGATTTAAACTAAACAGAAAACTCTATAAATTCAAAATTAATTAACTCATCGTTGCCGATCTCTTACTAGTTATAACTACTTTAGTTATCCGAAAGTTGTGACGTAGCGATAGCATTTCTGCTAACGGTTTAGATTGAGTTAGCATTGCGGGACGACCGCTCTCTTTTGACTCTAGCATACGACTGAAAGCTAGTAACCTTCCTTTTAAATTGTAGGTACAATTTATAAAAGAAACTCTATTTCATTCTAACATAAGCGATAATCGACTCGTGTGTGAGACAGGCAATTGATTGAATATTTATAGCGGTATCCCCCTGAATGAATCTACTGCGTAGAAAATTACTGTATGAAATGCAAGACTCTTGCAAGCCACTTTTGACTACCTAATAGTGTTTACTTGGTACGCCACAGTTAACTCGTTAAGCTGTTAGATTCTCAATACTCAATTTTTTGTGGCCTGGTCGGACGACAAATGTGCATAATATATTATTCAGCAGTTATCGTTATAGTAATTGATAGGTTTGAAGAAGTTTCAAATTCCCAGTAGCAAGTAATGACTCACTGTTCGCGTGATGGCGACAAATCTATCAGAATTTTAAAGTAGATTCCTAACTATTATGTATCGAATATGAGTAACTGCATTTATATGATCATTAGGGTTTCGAAATAATTATTATGAAAAATATTTGTTTGTTTTTGAAGTGAATACCTACTTCTTTAGAATCGTTGTGATTTGAAACTAGATGTGACTCGAAAAAGCGACACTATAAAGAGACAAACAAATACATCTATAGGATTTAGGATGCGAGAGAATGAGATAGAATACACTATACTGAGCGACAGTAGCCTGATGGCAGGGTGCGGGACGCGAACTCAAAAGGTCATAGGTTCGAATCCGCCATTCAACTACTGTTGTGAACCACTCCTATTACTAGATTTGCAGACTACCAGTAGTGGAATATTTAGCATTAAGCATTGCTAGAATTTAAAAAAAAAGTTTCCTATTATCTGGGTCTCAGCTGTGTCTCGCCAGCAATGCAAAGTCAATAACTTGCATCCCTAGTTTTGGGTTTTTCTAAATGCAAATTCCTGATTTTGCGTTGCTGGCGATACACAACTCTCGGTCTCCCCTTTTTGCGATGCTTTAAAGATGGTTAATATAAATTTTATAATAAAAAAACCCACTATTATTGTTAACCCATTCCTTATACTGTCTCCGCATTCGTCTCAGTCTCTAGTTTTCTGAAGGTTTCACTTCTACCGCGTGTGACATGTTTTGACTGCTGTTTGAACTGCTGTTTTAACTGCACACATGTTTTTTTTTAATATTATTCACCAACACGACATACTATCACAAGTTCGCAGCTCATCATAGGGTTGCTCCAAACTAAAACACGGCTTCGTGGCGCAGTGACTTAGCAATGAGTTGCAGCTCTAAGGGCCGTGGGTTCGAATCTCGCACGGAACAAGTATTTTGTATGACCTACAAATAATTCTTCCGGGTCTGGATGTTTGTCCTTGTGAAATCTATGTATGTAAACTGCCTCCGCGATATAGGAGAAAAACTATTTGAGAAAACTATTTGAGAAAAGCTCATTGATTCATTAGGTCATGACTCCACCAGAAAGGAGTCTGAGGGCCTCATTCCCGCTTCACAGCAGCTTTAAGCTGTTATTTTAGGCTAGCATTCTGTAAGAGCATGGTCGTTCCTCGTTCAATCCGACCCATTGGTGCTGCAACGATAATATTACTGCAGCATAGCACTACTATTGTTTTACTAACCCGTATTAAGGCACGTACTTTATCCTTGTTTTGCTGCCAATATTAATTATTAAATAGTGTATTAGGGACATTTTTTTTCGTATAATAAAAAGACTAGGTTATATTTGAAGAAAACCTTGTGGATGAAGGAAAGATATAGCCCTAGGTAGGAAATACTACTTGTTTTTTACTAGGTTTTTTTATATCTTGTAAGTTGTTGTCATGGTTACGAAAAAATAACAAGAAAAATGTAAGACTAGTTTTTCGTAATAAGTATATTTTGTTAGAAGATTAAATGTTTCAAGTCTAAGAAATCTTCTTATTTCAATGTGAGGAGCTACATACAACGGTCATACAGAAACTCCCCACATAATGGCGACCGTGAAAGCGGATAGACCTGGACAAACCGAACTCGACGCTATGAGGCGTAAAAGGGCATACACACGTCGAGTATTCATCAGGTCAGTGCGAAAGATAGAGGGGTCGAATGATATTGAGCAGATGACTGTCGAATTTCAGTATCTTGTAGAGAAATTGGAAGAGTTAAAATCTTTTGACAGTCAAATAAAAAATATGACGATCGATTCTTGCACGGATGAGCAATTTGATGAAGAATGTGACGAATGCGAATCGTATTTAAGGAAGTATTATGCAGTAAAAGTTAAGATTGAAAAATTACGAAAGGAATGTGATAGAGCAAATACATCTTCAGCGGCTACTGACGGATCTCATCAGAAGAGAAACATAAAGCTACCGAATATCGAGCTCATAAAATTCGATGACAATCCGAAGACGTGGTTATCTTTCTGGGGACAGTTCAAAAAGATACACGAGGACGAGACTCTTGAACCAGAAGATAAGTTCCAGTATCTCATACAGGCTATGAAGGAGGGGTCCAAAAGCAGAGAGCTCGTAACTAGCTACCCTCCGTCTGGCAAGAATTACCCAAGAGCGCTGGAGCAGCTACAGGGACGATTTGCTCGAGAAGGTATCCTCATCGAGACGTATGTGAGAGAGCTGCTAGGTCTCGTATTATGTCAGGCTAAGGGACAAAATATGGATATAAGATCGCTTTACGACCAGTTGATGACCCATTTGCACGCTTTAGAGTCACTCAAAGTAACAACGGAAAAGTACGGAGCGATGTTGTATCCATTAGTCGAATCAGCTTTACCTGAAAATATTTTAATTGTTTGGAATCGAACTAGAATTGTAAACGATGTTGGTCAATTAACGCAACTTTTAGAGTTCTTAAAACGGGAAGCCGAGGCTGAGGAACACATTAAATTGACGCGCGCTAACTTTAATACTTATAGTTCTTCCAGCAGTGTTGATATGCCGCCGACAGCAGCTTGCATCGTTTCGAAAGAGGAGACAAGTTCCAGTAAAACAGGTAATGACTTTTGCTATTTTTGTGATAATACGTCTCATTCGATTCTTCAATGTAATAAAGGGCTCAAAATGTCTTTAGATGAAAAAAGAGCCGCTGTCAAAGATAAGAGGGGTTGTTTAATTTGTTTACGTAAAGGTCACGTAGCTAAGCACTGCAAGAAGTTTTTAAAATGTATGGCCTGCGGTAAACGTCATGTAGTGATATTTTGTCCGGACCTTTATAGGGATAAACAAAAGGAACCCAAAGAAGCGACAGCACTTTTCTCTAGGAAAGGCGGAAATATTTTATTACAGACTTTGATTTTAGAGGTTTCACATGAGGGTAAAAAGAAGAAAATACGTGCTCTGTGTGATACTGGATCGCAAAGGTCGTATATTAGGAAAAACGTAGTAAAAGAGTTAGGCCTTAAGGTAGTAGGTATAGAGAATTTAGGTTATTCACTATTTAGTGGTGTTACTAAGCCAGCAGAAAACCACAGTCTTATCGAAGTGAATGTAAGTAGTCTAGATTCTTCTTTCTCTACAAAATTCATTGGTCTTGAACTCGACGACATTTGTGGCTATCTTCCCAAAGCAGACGATCCCAAGCTAAGGTCAAAGTTAAAGTCACTGAATATAAGTATTGACGACAGTGACTGTGACCTTAGCGATGTAAATATGTTAATAGGAGCTGATTATTTAGGAGTAATTTGTACGGGCACTATTGTACAATTAGATGGGCCTTTAGTAGCTATTAAGACGAGGCTAGGATGGACATTACAGGGCCCTAACTTTTATAGTGCTGCACAATGCTCAATAACTTTCAATTGTCACGCTCAGAGTAAACTTTCAGATTTGTGGGATTTAGAGATATTAGGGATTTCAGAGCCACATGAACAGATGTGCAAAGATAGGAAAAAAGGAGAGGTAATGAGTCAATTTGAGCAGAATATTAGTTTTAAAGACAATTGTTACCAAGTAGGGTTTTTGTGGAAAGATGGTTACCCCGAAATAGGCAGTAATTACAATGTAGCTTATAAAAGACTTTTAACGACGACTAGGAAGTTAGAGTGGACTGGTGATTTGCTAAGTTATAACGATGTTTTTCAGAATTGGTTAGACGAAGATATTATAGAACATACTGAAAACAATATAGCAGAAGGACACTTTATTCCTCGTCACGCAGTCATTAAGATGTCTAGGACTACAACGAAGATACGTCCAGTATTCGACGCATCGTGTAAAGATGCGCAAGGATTGTCTTTGAATAACTGCATCGAATCGGGTACCAATCTTATAGAACTAATCCCTAAATTATTGATGAACTTTAGGAAAGGTACGTACGGCGTCACGTCGGATATAAAGCAAGCCTTTCAGCAAATTTTAGTTTCAGAGAAAGATACAGAGTATTTGAAGTTTCTGTGGTGGGAGAATCCGTTGACCAAAGAGAAGATAGTCACTTTCAGACATAAGAGAGTAGTATTTGGGGTGACTTGTAGTCCGTTTCTCTTGGCGGCTACGATTAATTATCACTTAGGCAATTTTGAAGGAATGTACGGTCAGACAGTTGAAATTTTGAAACACTCCTTTTATGTTGATAATTGTGTAGCTAGTTTTGATACAAAAGAGGCTTTATTTACTTTTATAAACGAAGCTAAGGAAGTTATGCTAAAGGGGGGTTTTGATTTACGATGTTGGGTTACCGCTCCTATTAGAGTAGATAACACTGTCCAGACTCAATCTGTATTAGGAGTACTATGGAATACTCTTACGGACGAATTACAGTGTAGTTTCCGTCTTAGTAGCACTATACCAGATCGGGTCACGAAGAGAGATCTTTTGTCATTAACTCAGCAGATATTTGACCCTATTGGATTTCTTGCACCTGTTAGCCTAGTGCCTAAACTAATAGTACAAAAGGCTTGGATAGATAGTACAGGTTGGGATCAAGCTATCAGCAACGAGTTATCGAAGGAATTTAAGAGTTGGCTAAATCATGTTCATCTGATAAATGATTGCAAGTTGCCGAGACGCTTATCAGAGGAGAGGTTGACGAACTGTAACAAAAGTTTACATTTGTTTTGTGACGCATCTATTAATGCTTATGCAGGTTGTGTCTTTCTTCGGACCGAATGCAAAAGTAAAGTTACGATTAGGCTGGTTATGGCCAAAAGTAGAGTAGCGCCAATTAAAAGATCAATAACTTTACCTAGATTGGAGCTAATGGGAGCGCTTATTGCATCGCGGCTTGCAAATGAGATAAGTAGAACGTTGTTTACCGACGACACCTGCCCGTTATATTGTTGGACAGACTCCGCGGTTGTGTTAGCCTGGATCCAAAGACAGTGTTCTTGGAAGCCGTTTGTGAGCAATAGGGTAAGTGAAATTTGTGCTCACACTAAGAAGGAACATTGGCGGCACGTACCGGGCCACTGCAATCCGGCAGACCTACTGTCACGTGGCTGTAATATGAAGACATTAATGGACAGTCACTGGTGGGATGGCCCTGCTTGGCTATTATCTGACCATGAACTGTGGCCTCAGTCTAATCACATCGCAGTAGATGAGAACGCTGTTTCCATAGAAGCAAAGAAGGAGGTACTTGTAAATACTAATGTAGATACTGAACATTTTAGCGAGAAGCTTTTATACTTTTCTAAGTATTCAAGAATTGTACGTGTAGTAGCTTGGATATTCCGATGGAGAAGGCGACGAATGTTTAGTATAGCTTATATAAGCAATGATGAATTCGAAGAAGCTGAGAATATACTTATAAGACTTATTCAGGGTGAACATTATGTAAATAGAACTAAATTGAATAAGAAACTGTGCATACATTTAGATAGTAATAGTATTATGAGAGTAAAGACTAGATTAGGTTTAGGAAATTATGATAAAGATTTTTCGAGTCCCATATTATTACCAGGGAAAAATGTCATTGTGAGGCGACTCGTTGAAGAGAAACATATATACTTAAAGCACATTGGATCACATACTTTAATGTCAGAGCTGAGAAACAGATTCTGGATTACAAGTGTGAGATGGCTATGTAAGGATATAGTTAAGAAATACATAATTTGTCGTAGGCAAAAGGGCATACATTATGATACACCGGAGACACCACTCCCTCTTGAACGGATTCAAGGCACGGCAGCGTTTCAAATGACAGGTATAGATCTGGCCGGGCCGTTGTATTTACGTAATCAAGAGAAATGTTGGGTGGTTTTATTTACTTGCGCGACATTTAGGGCTGTGCATTTTGAGATGGTAGACTCATTGTCCACAAATAGTTTTATTATGAGTCTTCGTAGATTTATTGCTCGAAGAGGTCGTATAGACGTCATTTTCACGGACAACGGAACAAATTTTCGAGGGACTGCCAATTTACTGAAGGATATTAATTGGCAGGAGGTTGAAAGTGTGACGGCAGTCCATGCTATAAAGTGGCGTTTTATTCCACCTAGAACTCCTTGGTGGGGAGGTTGGTGGGAGAGGCTCATTAGAGTATTAAAGGAGATGTTGCGAAGAATATTGGGGCGTCAGCGATTGACTTGGGTAGAGTTGGACACAGTCTTGTGCGATTGTGAAGCTGTCATTAATAGTCGGCCACTAACATATGTCTCGACTTGTATCGACGATTTGCGGCCACTTACACCTATGTTATTTCTACATGGCTTACCTTCTAATGATACTTCTGATTTAGATTATGTAGATAATATGAATTTAAATGTAAGATACAAATATTTACAAAAGTTGAGAGAAGATTTCAGAGTTCGATTTCGTAAGGAGTATTTGGCTTTACTTACAGCTAGATGGAAGGAGAAGACAATAGAAATGAAGAAAGGAGATATAGTTCTAGTAGAGACAGACGCGAAAAGGCTATTTTGGCCCTTGGGGTTAATCATGGAAGTAGTTACCGGGGCTGATGGTGTTACTCGTTTGGCTAGAGTCAAGACTCAAAAAGGTGAAACTTTAAGACCATGTCAGAGATTGTATCCGCTTGAGATTTCAAATGATTCTGACCTCTTGCAACGAGCTGAAGTAACGATAGAGGATGGGAAGTTATCAGTAAGTTCAGATAGTCCCGACTTACCCTCCTCGGTTACAGGTGGCGCGAAGGTGACGAAAACAACGCGGTGCGGTCGAAATGTGAAATTGCCTGCTCGGTACTTATAAATTACATTTGGTTTTATGGTTTTCCTTAGTAGGTATGTTGAGTTGCGTTAATTGGTTACCATTTTCTTTCGGGTCTGGAGTGTGTTGTGGATAAATAAATATTGTCTACGGCCCTTTTAGGTTTTTTTATATCTTGTAAGTTGTTGTCATGGTTACGAAAAAAATAACAAGAAAAATGTAACACTAGTTTTTCGTAATAAGTATATTTTGTTAGAAGATTAAATGTTTCAAGTCTAAGAAATCTTCTTATTTCAATGTGAGGAGCTACATACAACGGTCATACAGAAACTCCCCACACTACTTAAACACTATTTATCTGCTACTAAAGACCCTAGTCTTAAGTTCTTAAGTTATTTAATAATCCTTGGTAAACTGAAAATGGTAATAAATTCCAATAATTCATTGTGTGTACCAAAAACAACGAATCATACAGTATTTCGCTTCAGATCGTAGAATGGTAATGGCCGAACGTCAATTCTGATTAGAAAAAAATTTTCTTCAACGGAGATTATACATAATGTTTATTAAGTAATTTTTACTGTTACCCTAGGCTCAAAAAGAACATCTGGCCTAGGAAGAAACAACATTAAAACATTAGCAGTTAGTAAATAATTTTGTATAATTAGTAAGTATAAATTTCATTTTAAAACAGCTTGGCAACGATCACCTCATTCCCAGAGCTTATGTTCGTTAATATTATATTATTCCATTTTAGTGTATTAAGTAAAAGCTTACAACTTGGTGATAACCAGACCTAGTATGTGTTCTAGGAGCTTTGATGTAAAGACGTATTATATCATCAGGGTCGTATAGTCAAGCAGATTGTTATGGGCTAGTATAACGTGATAAAACATTTTGTGACATGCCTGATGCTAGCTATTTCTTTTTTTTTATAGGATATGGTGACAAACGAGCACACAGTCCACCTGATGGTAAGTGGTTGCTGTGGCCCAAAACATCTACATTTATCCTTGTTTGCGAATCAAAATGCAGATGCGTCGTCACCCGTGAGGACTAAGATAGAATGCCTCTTTTCCAGTAAAATGGGTCTCCGGTTCTCTACACTCACGATACGAAACACAGCAGTGTTAAGCTGCTATTTTACGCTGGTATTCTGTGAGAGCGTGTTCCTTCCCCGGTCGAGCTGACCCATTCGTGCTACAACTATACTACTAATATAGCTGCAGCAAGGCTCTACCGCGTATAATATATATATATTTCGTGAAAAAGCTAAGACAAGTCAATCAGCTTTGAACTTTGGATGATAATGTATATTGCATATGATAATGGTATTAACGCTAAGCATAAAAATAGTTGAAATTCCTACCTCTAAATAAAAAATAGAAATATGGCGACTACCGAGTAATAAAATATTTACTTTTACTAAAAAGTAAAAGATGAATTCAAAAAAGGGAAAACATTTTTTTTTCATTCTTAAGTCAGATCTATAATTCTTATATGCATTAAGACTTAGCACCGACACCAAAATGTGAAATTATGTAATTTTTTCTTTGATATCAGCTTTTAATTTTTATTAAAGTTTTTTCCGATTATTCGATGACGAGATTGAAAGAAAAAAGGTAATCTTTAAACGACTAAATAACAGAGTAAAATAAGTAGTTGAAAGGAAAAACCAAGAAAGGACGGATAAGAATGATAGAAGAACTGAAAATGTTGTCAATTATTAAAACTCGTAGGAACTGGCAGGGGAAACTCAGAACGGCCTAGAATGAATGCTATACGAGACGAGAATGACTGTATTTTGAATGACAAAGTTTCGAGTTTAAAGAGATAGAAGAAATAAACACTTTTAAAGCTTGTTAATGAGTGAAGAGACGTCAAAATTAATGAACCAGAAATTCCGAAAGGATAAAAGAGATAGTGAGATAAGCAGAAATGAAACAATGAAAGCAATAAAAAGCATGAAAGCAGGTAATGCCGCCGGATATGATATAGTAACTGAGAAGTGGTGCTTCACTGCTGGCCGGATGAGGAAGCTCAAGGTCGCTCAGGGAGCTATGGAGAGGGCGTCCCCCCCCCCAACTAGATGGAGTGACGACCTGGTAAGATATGCAGGAATTTGATGGATGCAGGTGGCTCAGGACCGTGCTTCGTGGCATTCCTTGGGCGAGGCCTATTCAGCAGTGGACTTGTGAAGGGCTGTAATGATGATGATGATGATGATAGAATATCACTAGAAAAGCAAAGGGCTGGAGAGGGAGTGGTGGTAGATCAACAGTACACTTTATTTAATTTATGCTGAGAACTAAACCGAGTACCTGGAGACTACTGCACGGCCATTAAAGTCCCAATATATAAAGGAAAAGAGTCACAGAAGGATCGCAAAACTGCCGTGGCACTAGCCTGCTTAGCATTGCGTGAACACTGTATGCTGAGGTGTTATGTAAGGTGAGGTGTGATTAAAAGAGTTATGAAAGAAACTGACGGAAAAGTTTGGAATGTTCAAGCTGGATTTAGAAAGGGAATGGGGTGTGCGGATCAGGTCTTTTCTATGCACAGAAGAAGAACAGAGAAGTTTTGGCCAAAAACCAGATAGTTTTCCCTCATGGACTTGGAAAGGGCCATATGACAGAGGGGACGGGATGTTTTATGGCAAACACTGGATGCGTTTGTGTTAGGCGCTTTGTTGATACAGGCATTAAAATCTCTTTATAGCAACTTTAGTGCCCGTGCCAGAATCAAATAGGCTTACTCAGACTAGTTTGGCATACAAAAAGTGTCAGACAGGGTTGTGTAGCTTCCCCGTGGCTGGTCAACCTAATTATGGACAGTTGTATGGAAATTTTGAAAGTTGAAGCATGTGTTTTAAGAATGCATGAGTTTACCGTCAAATGCTATTTGTACGACGATGATCAAGTGATAGAGTCAAGAGTTGTAAATGATGGTTACATTAATGAGCATTTCATTAAAAGAAAGGGGAATAAGAGTGAACGCAAGTAAGACGAAAGTTTTGTTTTTTTGAAAGGGAAGAAAGTAAAACAATATGTGAAATAAGCATAGAAGAGGAGTTGGTTGAGCAAGCGGATGAATTTATTTAGGATGTGTCTTTAACAGGGATGGTAGATATGACAAAGATGTAGAGCGACGAGTAAAAGCAAGGCAATAAGTAAATGAGACTCTTAACTCTATTATAGGAGGTCAGAATGTGTCAAAAGATATGGCAATTAGATATGGCAATTCACAAATGCTGTGTTAGTCCCTATCTCAATGTATGGTAGTGAGAGTTGGGTTTGGCAGAAGAAACACGAGATTAGAATAAATGCTGTAGAATTGGGACCATTAAGAAATACGTTTTTTTTATAGGATAAGGGTGACAAGCGAGCACACAGTCCACCTGATAGTAAGTGGTTGCTGCGGCCCATAGACATCTACATCTATCCTCTATTACAAATCAAAATGCAGATGCGTTGTCACCCGTGAGGACTAAGGTGGAGTGCCTCATTTCCAGTAAAAAGGGTCTCCGGTTCTCTACACTCACCATACGAAACACAGCAGCGTTAAGCTGCTATTTTACGCTGGTTTTCTGTGAGAACGTGGTCCTTTCCCGGTCGAGCCGACCCATTCGTGCTACAACTATACTACTAATATAGCTGCAGCATGGCTTTACCACGTGATAAATGTTACAAAGAAGTTAGCGTTGACGGCCATACGAGCATAAACTGTGTTACAGCCGTCAGCGTGTTCAACCCTGAGTAGTACAAAAATCGTTACATTATAAAGTACATGAAAGTACCGTATTATACCTACCACAGAATATTCAAATTATTTCTCCAAATGTATATATGTAGTAAAACCTTTTTAACAAAAAGAGACTCATCAAAATCGATTCATATTTAATGAAGAAATCGAGTAACATACATACAAAAAAAAACATGTGTGCAGTTCACACGCGTTAGAAGTGTGAAACCTTGAAGTGATTTGAAATATAAAACAAAAACATTTCACAACTTACTGAAGTTTCGAGTCAATCGCCCAGTAAAATAAAAACTATCATACAAACTGTAACACCCTATTCCACCCTCTCGGGGTTGAATTTTCAAAAATCCTTTCTTACTGGACTGGAAAAGAGGCATTCCATCTAAGTCCTCACGAGTGACGACGTATCTGCATTTTGATTCTTTATTAAGGATAAATTTAGATATCTATGGGTCACAGCAACCACTTACCATCATGTGGACTGTGTCGAGCACACAGTCCACATGATGGTAGATGGTAGAAGGCTGAAGTTACAATATATTATAATAATTATCCTTCATAGTATACTGCTTCACAATATGTTGATGCGTCACATTGTGCAGCCCTTGGGAGATTTTGACGGCAACTTGAGCCAGCAGACAGCTGACGCTGACGGTTGGCGATGGTATCTCAAGGCGCCTAAGCAGACAGACACCTTATTTTGAGATTCACATCACCATCAGAGCACTTATTTCACAGTTTCCACTAATAGTTCAAATGCACAGACACTTAATACACAAAATCGCACCACTTTTACATATCAAAGTCCACTTCAAACCATTATTTAAACAATAATACAGGAGCAGCAAACCGCCGCCGGTCAAATTCCCGCCAAAACTCCTCAAGGGCATAGAGAGCCACTATAAGTACAGACTAAGACATTCCATCTTAGTCTTCAGAGATGACGACGCATATGTAGTCTTCTTTGTTTGAAGTTGGCTCCAAGTGAAAACTAGTTTGTCACTGCAGTTTTATAAGCAAGTTTTTAAAACTGGAGTGACAAATGAATTAAACGCAATTTTGTACAACCGACTTCCATATATTGGCCGTGTAGTGGTGGTTAAGAATATCCACTACCCCATATCTTCCCGTGGGTGTCGTAATATGCGACAATGGGAAACAGGCAGGAGATGGGCTGCAGCATCTTTCTGATAACAGCAATATTACAATAAAAAAACTGCGGTTGCCAATCCGCTCGCCAAGCGTGGCAACTATGGCAAATATCTACCCAAGATGAAAGTTAC